AGATCTGAGTATACCGTGAACTGAATCGTATGGATAAACTTATAAACTTTCATTCTGTAAATAAATTTGCTAACTATAAGACAAAAGATGTCAGAATGAAATTATATAATTATATAACTGAAGTTAATTAAAATTTTCTCTAGGTCTTAAAGCTTCAGAGATATACATATGTATATACATTATAGGGCCTGCTACACCTCCTTAAGGCTGTTACATACATTTTTTAAATCCATTATAACCTTATTTCCCGTATTCAATGCTTAAAATGCTTAGGTTTATTTTTGCAGAATGTCGGGAAAACGTAAAGCGCCACCGAATAAATTTGATGGGGATTTACATAGCTCACAAGATTTTGAAGGATCTGCAGAAGAGACTGGACGAAAATTTAATATCCAATTTAATTTAAGTGAAATCACACTCTCTGCTGCTAAAATGCAACAACAATTTGTCAACAATAATAATAGCTGTACTGAGAACGAAGTACCGGGCTGTAATATTTTGGGGACCAGAAACGGCGAAGGCGAAGGTACAATCAAAGGCAAAGAAGAGCAGGGCGAAGTTATAAGCAAGGGGCAGGAATTTATTGAACTTGAGATGCATCGCGGGTCGGCTAGTGATGGGGAGAACGCTTTGTCGAATTTGAACGCACGGATTATTGGTACAGTAACTAGTTCCAGTGAATCGGAAATCGATAATGTCAGCCAGGTAAGTACCTCAAAAATGATAATAATGCTACTATCTTTAGTTGTCTTTACCCACACTCTTCTACTATCGTTAACGAGTTACAAAATTAAAAAAAAAAAAAAAATCGAATTTTCGACGCATTTGCATTTGCATTTGGGCACCAGAAATCTACATATAACTGCCTCTCATATTTCAAATATTATAGATTTTTGTATTTATTTTGATTGCAGCCAGCTCATCAAATCGTAACGGAAAAAAAGCGTATCAAAGTAATGTCAAAGTCGCGATTACTAAATGGTAATTCGAAGCTGAAGCCAGCTACTGCGGTTACTAACGCCAGCGATATACAATCATTAGATGATCAAAAGTCTCGCAGCACAAATACCCTGCTAACGTACCCAATGAATGAGACAGCTGAGCCAAAGGATGTCAATGTCGAAAACGCGACTGCTATTATATTCAAGAGTCAGTATAGTAACCTGATTAAACGAGAACTTTTTGAGAAACCGGACACAGATTCAAAAGATAAAAAAATGAATACAGATCAGGATATTATTGGTGTAGAACAACAATGTTTTCATAATATACCATTTGCTCGAAATCTAGTTTCGACTGCTACAAATATGGATGAAGAACAGTATATGCCTGATCGAATGGAACTGCCATCATTAAATGACCTCACTCATCACTTAGGTCTGGATGTCTTTGGCAAGCAAAGCCTATCAGACGGCAACTCTTCGTTGCTCAAACCTTTAAGGTGAGATATCAATTCTACATATTTCTAATGATCTAGTCGACAAAATTCTGGTACTCAATGGTCAAGAGATACAGGTTTACATTGCTTGGCATATTCTCAGGGTTGTCTCATAGCTTGTCGATGGTATAGAATTGCAATTTTATTGTGGGTGAAAAAATCATGCCCTAATTAAGATTGATCAACATAATAGTTATTGATTAAAATTTGTTTCAAGACAAAAGCCAAATCTTTCATTAAAGTCCCAGTAATTAAAGCCAGGGATTAAGTTTTCATTAAAAACGAAAAATCAGAGGCCATAAAAATGAATATTAAGTTTTAACATTGCTGTGTATATAGACCCACCTTAAATAGAAACAAGTAAGAAAGCTCTAGTCGAGACTGCTCGACAAGGAGATCTCCTGAACCCTTCGAGCAAATGATATTTCAATAATTCGAACACTACACACACACACTCACTCACATACACTACAACACTATTATAGGAATTTATTTGTTAAATAATTTAATTTCTAGACGTACGATCTTAATGAAACTTTCAGAACATTATCATAATATTCAAATTTATGTATATTCCGAAGCAAATGTATGTATACGCCATTTACAAATAAGAGCGTGAGGGGGTGGATATAAAGGTGGGGTAAATTTTTACAAAACCCGAAATTGTATAAAATGCATCTTAATATACATTTTAAATTTGGAGACTAGCTTTCAAGATGTGGGAGATATAATTTTATAACTGATTATCGATAAGATTTTTTATCAATTACAAAATAACGGAATGAGTTATTGATTTTTAGTGATAAACTTAATATACGCGCTATATATACGGACTTTTACAAAAAATTTGAAGTCTCTAGCTTTTATATTTTCTGAAATCGAGCCGTTCAAACATACGGACAGACGGAAAAACGGATGGACGGACAGACGGAGAAACAGACAGACGGACAGGCCCAAATCGACTTAGCTCATCGCCCTGATCAAGAATACATATACTTTGTGGGGTTTTCCACGCGTCATTCTGCCTGTTACATACATTTTAACAAACCCATAATACCCTGATTTCCCATTTTCAATGGTTCAGGGTATAAAAATATATTCATATATTATGCAACACTTATGGGAATGAACTGCAAAATTTATTATATCCGCACATACCAAATAGAATCTCAATTATAATTAAGGTATCAGATTATGTATCTCTGTTGGCGGCATATAAATAGATAACTATAACACAAACTTATGTTGAGAGGTAGCCTAAAATAAGTTAGTGTCCTAATTTGGGTTTCAATTTTGAAATCAAACTATCAAATCAAATTATATTTGTGCTTGTGGTCGTAATTTGCCATCATCTCTAACTATATATTCGCAATTTCCGCTTGTAACATTCAATTATTTAGGAATAGTCTACAAGCAAAGCTCTACCAACAAGCCAATAAAGCACAGTGGCACTAAAGACTAATTTAGACGGTTATAGCGATTCGGTTAATGAAGCTAATATATTATTAATAATATGCAATTTTATATTGTTAAGCTTTAAATCTGTTGATCAACGAAAAAAGGCTTTTTAGTGAATCTCTGTAGCTTTTTTTATCATACGCATATCCTTAAGCTCAAAGATAAATATCGAAATAAAGTTTTAATAAAATAAAATACCTCAGTTTTATTTAATTCTTCAATCAAATAAAAAATTCCTATTACTCTATAAATATACTATATATTTGTTCGTACGTAAATAAATAAATAAAAAGTAAGAAAGCTCTAGTCGAGACTGCTCGACTTCGAGATCCCCTGAACCCTTCGAGCAACTCATATTTCCATAATAATTCGCACACACACACTCACATACACAGGCGAATGCACTTGGGTTACTTGAAATACGCCTTTTACAAATATGAGGGTGAGGGGGTGGATATAGGGGCGGGGGGTAAATTTTAACAAAAACCGAAATTGTATAAAATGCGTATTAATATATATTTATTTAAATTTGGACAATCTAGCTTTAAAGATGTGGGAGATATAATTTTTTAACTGATTTTCGATAAGGTTTTTTATCGATAAAAATATCGTTTTTAGCGATAAACACGAAATGCGCGCGCCCTGATCAAGAATATATATACTTTGTTGGGTCTACCACGCCTCCTTCTGCCTGTTACATACTTTTAACAAAACCATTATACC